CATCTTCCCTCACAGAGGGAACATGGACTGGGGTGAGAGGCTGTCTGGGACACAAACCTGAGCCTCAGGCGGCCCCTCTCCTCATTCTTTCCATCCAGCCCGAGGTCTCCTCCAGGGGCTCCTCCCAGAGCTTTTCCATAATCTTCCCCCTGAGGCTCCTCCCTAGTCCTCCCCCCGAAACTCTTCTCCTGGGACTCCTCCCCTCCTAGGGTTCCTGCCAGAACTCCTCCCCAGCTCTCCTTCCGGGGCTCCTCCTGAGGACAGGGTCCAAAAGACTCAGGTCCCATGGCCAGTGGTGATGGATGTCCCTGTCACAAAGGAGGGGAGGCGTGGGAAGGGATGAAGTTTCCCACAGGCCCGGTTTCCCTCTTTTGCCATCACCTGTCGCCCCTCCAGGGGGCCCCATGGAAAATGAGGAACGTCCAGGTGGGCTCAGCTGTGCTGAGAAGTCCCCAGACGGAGGGTGTGAGGTGGGTGGGGGCACATGAGACACTACAAGGAAGGTAGATGGTGGGCAGTCTGGGCAGAGGTGGGGGCGGGCCTGGGTCAAGTTGACCAGAGCAGAGAAGATGTACTAAGGAGAGGGCCAGTGCTGAGGATTTGAAAATAAAGCCTTTATAGTCTTAACCAACACGTGAAAAGTGTGCTATGAAAGAAAAATGAAAAAGTCATAAAAACAAAAATAAGAGAAACGAGCCATCATCCCATCACCTGTCACACTGATGACATTTAATTGCAGCCAGTTGAGCAATGGCTCCTGGCACCCTCGTCCCTGTGGTCCATGGGCTTCCTGGTTAAGACTTCTGAACAGGGGATTTAGTGACAAGGCTGGGGTTTTGGAAGGAGGATGAGGCGAGTGTGGGAGAGGGTGGGGGGTGGAGGGCCCTGGGCTGCGTGTCTGGGAAGCATGGGGATCAGGAGGCTGTGAGGTTCCCAGTCAAGGGGAACCTCTTCCCCCAACTGGACGGACCAGACCCCTCAATCGTCTGAGCTTCATTTGTGCAATGGAAACATCGAGTGCAGAGCACATTCCGGAACCCGCATTCTGCTTACGGCACAACCACTCAATGGAGTATGCACTATTGTCATCCTCATTTGTTCATCTGGCAGAGAACCTGTCTACCAATGCAGGAGACACAAGAGACTCAGGTTCCATCCCTGGACTGGGAAGATCCTCTGGACTAGGAAATGGCAACCCACTTGACTATGCTTGTGTGGGTAATCCCATGGAGGGAGGAGCCTGGCGGGCTACAGTCCACAAAGTTGCAAAGAATCGGACGTGACTGCATGCACACATGCACACACATCCTCACTGACAAGTGAAGAAACCATAGCACAGAGACGGTGAGCCACTAGTCCGAGGCTGCACAGCTGAGGAAGTAACTCAGAATTTTCAGGCAACATGCACAACGAGTACTGTACATATAATGGTTGTGATGGATCCCGGTCAGCTCTAATAATTGAGGTCTCTGCTGCCCTCAGTGAGTTTGTGGTGAGAGGTCTCCCCTCTCCCGGACTCCTCAGCAGCTCAGAGGAAGATGACCTCGGCTTGCCAGGCCCCAGGGCTGGGCTGTTCCAAGTGGCTCCTGGGGTGATCTCTAAGTGAGGGTTGTCCTGGCCTGTAAGCCCCATGTGCTTGTTGGGACCAATTGTCCCTTCCAAGCTGGGCCACCAATCTCTTAACCCAGAGGTCTTGGTCCAGCTGGCTGGAGCAGACTGAAAGCTGTTTTGACCCATCTGGCTTCACTTTACAGCGTCCCTGGCTGGCCGCTCACGGCAGAGCTCGGGGTCAGAAGGAAAGGTCCTCCCCAGGCCTGCTGACCGCTCTTGGATCTCAGACCTAGTAGGCCCTCTCTCCTGCAGAACCGGAAACAGGGCAGTCACCCCGGGGCTGGCGGGACAATGACCACCACAAGTCCAGGTCCCGCAGCAGGCAGGAAGTGTCGAGGCCGGGCTTGGGGGACCCTGACCGGCGGTGGATTTGGGCAGCCCCTCACCGTGGTGGCCGCGGTGCCCACCTGCAACGTCCATTCGCCCCAAGCTGAGCCTGCCTGGCCGGGCCGGCATGGCAGGCACTCTGCACACATCTGGCCGAGCACAGCAGGCCATGGCGTGGTGGTGTCATGGCCCAGGAATGCAGGAAGACAGTCTGGGGTTCTGGCATGGAGGCATGGCATTGCACCAAGAATGTGTCTCGTAGAAAGATAATTATGCGTTTGGGGAATATGCGTAAGAAACCCGGTAGATGCCACCGGTTCTGTTTATTTTACCAAGAGCCGAGGCGACGGCAAAGTGGCGCAGCTGGGAAAGCGTCTCTCCCCGCAAGGAGATGAAAGATGCTGGCGGGTACCCAGCACCCGCCTTGATGTGGGTCACTGTCCTCCAGGGGCTGGGTGTGGGCTGCCCGGGGGTGGGGGATGCGTGGGAGGGAGGTGGGCGTGACACGGGGCCCTGCTGCCGCCCCAGAGGAGGCAGGAGAGAGGCCGAGGGGGCCGCAGGCGGCGCTCAGCGTCAGGCTGATTTATGGCCGAGTGCGCGGGCAGTGGGCAGAGCGGCTGAATGACCCATTGTGTGGAGGCTGAAAGGCCAGCGGAGCGGGCTCAGTGGGGAAAGATGTGCATTTGATAACTTCTATTCCATTGTGCAAATGCTGCTGCCCCTTTCAGAAAACTTGGAAATCACAGCAAAGATCAGGCAGGGAAAGCAGCGTGATCTCACTAGCAGAGCTGACAACCGTCAGCCTGCTGGTACGTTTCTTTCAAAATCGCTTAAACCATATGTCTGTGTGTGTGTTTATGCATGCATGCGTGTATTCCCATGACGGGGGTCATGTATATGTTTAAACATTTATTTTATTGTGGTAAAATACACACAACCTAAAATTTACCATTTTAATGTATACAGTTCAGTGACATAAGGACCTTCACACTTCAGGACAGCCATAGCCACCGTCCCATCTCCAGACCTTTCCCATCTTCCCAAACTGAACGTCTGTCTCCATTAAACACCAACTCCCCTTTCCCACCCGCCGGCTAATTTTCTCTCTTTATGATTTCATCTACCCTAGGGACCTCATGTGAGTAGAATCACACTCTATTTATCTTTCATTGACCGCAGTGCCCTCAAAGTTCATCCACACTGTAGCGTATGCTAGAATTTCCTTCCTTTTTAAAACTGAATAATATTTCATTGTCCACATTTTGTTTACCCATCCATCCATCGATGGACACTTGGGCTGTTTCTACATTTTGTCTACTGTGAATTACCCTATAAACATGGGTGTGTAAATACGGTACAATGTTTTGTTTCAAACAAAATGTTGTTTCCTGTCACATCCCAGGGACCCAGTAATTGGTAGAACTGACACGCTTGGAACCCACAATATCCCGGGTCTTTAGGGCTTCACGTTTGGAGGGTCAGGGTCTCTTCAGCCTTGCCGCCAACCTGAGTCCATTTCTTTGTTTCTTCTTCTGATGATAAATGTGTGTGCCCGTTAACTCTGTCAGCATGATGGCTGGGCTTACAAACCCTGCTCCTTGGTGGGAGATGCCACTTCTGCCCTTGGGCACTTTGGGCCCACAGACTCCCTGACAGAATGCAGGGTGCTGGGGTTCCCCTCCTCATCTGATGCTTTCTCTGCTGTCTGAGAGTGAAAGAGGAGGAGGGTAAGGGCTCCATCCTCTGCTGGGACTCCTGAGGGAAGACAGGCACAGGATTGCCAAGCCTGACCTTCAGGGAAGGGGTCTTGGCTGGTCTGGGGCCTGGGGCCTGTGCCATTTTTGTTTCTCCAGTGCCTGCACACTCTGGCAGTGAGTTCTTCATGGGGATAGATTGTGTCAAGGATTCATTTCCTTTTTTCCTTACGAAAAGGAGTGTGGTCTGGCAGAACGTTGAGATAGAAGTAACCAGATAATAGCAGAAGTTAGACTTTAGACCAAAGTCTAACCAACAGGAGAACTTATAAGATGTATTGTGAAGCTGGACAGAGGTTTGCAGAAGGGCTTCGGGAGAGGCCCACGGTGGTCTGCATGGGGGGGAAGTGCTTGATGAGAATGGGGTACAGAACCCTGTGAGTCCCTGGGGGACGTCAGAGTCAGGGGCGCCCTGGAGGAACCTGTGTGGAGCCTCAGAAGGGGTCCTTGTCCCTCCTTCAGGCTTCCGCTTCCTGCAAGACAAGACGCTGCGCCCTAGCTCTGGGGTGCATATGCAGGGTGGGCCTGAGTGAATCTCCAGCAATGAGCGATACTTGTCTCTGGGTGTGGCTTGGCCTCCCCTGAGTCAGGGCATGTGAGATTCCTTCTTCAACACTTTTGAGAACAGATTTTGAGGGGCTTGTTTTTTAAAATCACAAAATGGGACTTCCCTGGTGATCCAGTGGTTAGGAGTCCTCTTGCCAATGAAGGGGACATGGGTTCAATCCCTGGTCCAGGGAGATTCCATAGGCTGCAGGCAACTAAGCCCATGCACTGCAATTTCTGAGCCCTCTCTCTAGAGCCAGCGAGCTGCAACTATTAAAACCCACACACCTAGAACCAGTGTTACACAAAAAGGGAAGCCACCACAATGAAAAGCCTGCTCACTGCAACTTGAGTAGCCCCTGCTTGCCACAACTAGAGAAAGCCCATGCCCAGCAACAAAGACTGAGCAGAGCCAAATATATATTTTAAAAATTTTAAAATAGATAAAATCACAAAATGACTATTGCTCTCCTACTTAAAAAAATAAGTAAAAAATACCCCCTGGGGTCACACCCCAGAATCATCTATTTAATCTTTGTTATAGATTGTTCTCTCCACTTGTAAATACACACAGGTATGTTTTCAGGCTTTTCAAAATTGGGATCATATTATATCTACTGTTTTCTGGCTTGATTTTTAAACTTTAATGTCTTGCCGACAGATTTCCGTGGCCACAAATGAAGGTTAATAATTGCATCAGATTTTATTTGGCAAATACAGTTGATGGACACTTAGGGTTTAAGTCTCCCTTTTCTCCTTGGGTGATAAGGAAGGCCATGGTGACCATCTGACCCTTCTCTCATTCTGTCCTTCGCATAAACTCCCAGAAGTGTCAGCCTGGGGAACAGAGAGGCAGCTTGGTGTTGGAGTGAGAGGATGTACCTGACCCCCCGAGGCCCTAGCCACTAGTAGGGGGCTCCTGAGGTCCTGCTGCTCCAGGCCCATTGAGGGCGTGGAGTTTGTTGCTGTCTCTGAGCACCAGGTAAGTTCGTTGCATTCTAAGATGCAAAGCCCTTTCCTGGTACAGAGAAGGTTCTAGAAGGAAAGAGGAGGCTTCACCTCATGGTAGGCCAGACCCTCCTCTCTCCAACCCCTCTCTCTCCTGCAGAGTCTTCTCCCCTTTCTGGTCACAGCCCCTGTCTGTGTGGACACCAGCCTGTCCCCCACCACCTTCAAGAAGGCTAGGATCAGAGAGCGTACCCAGGGAGTCGCGCTCACTGACCAGCCTGAGAGGCCATGGTGGCTGATCTCTGTGACCTCAGGGCCAAAGGCTGAGGTCGGGGGCACAGTGTGCAGGGCCCCAGGAATGCGGGCGGTGAGGGCCCAAGGGCATCACACTGGCCACTGTCATCCGTACAGACCCTCAGGCCTGCTCCACAGGTGGGGGGACTTCCTCCCTGTCCTGATTCCAAGACTTCTTGGGCCCCACCAGGTCCGTCTTGGAGGCCAGTCCGCCTACCGTTTCATGTCGGCTGCTCACTTTGAAACCCAAGAAGTCTGATGATAATATCGCCCAGGACAGAGCCGGGTCTGCTGCTAATTACCATTTGACATTCTGGCTGAGTCCAGCGTGGGTGGGTGGGGGACCATGAAAAGCTTATTCATCTGGCTCAGGGCGACTTCAAATGCAGCTCCCCCTCCATGGGCAGCGGGTGCCCCCACGACGGCCGCCTGCTGGGTGTCCAAGGCTGGCTGAGAGGGAGAGGCTGGCTGGAGGTGAAACAAATGGAGATTCATTCTCTGCAAGAAGGTGCCGCCTGTTTCTCATGACAGGGGCTGGTCTGGGCTGGCATTCACCTCTCTGAGACCCGGGAAGCTCACGGGGCTTTCAGGGAGTGGGTGAAAACCCCAGAGCTGAGGCACGTGGTCCCGGCAAGGGGCTCCCGGGGCAGGTGACCAGGAAGGGTGTGCGGCCTGGGTGTGTGTTGTTGCCTCCAGGCAGGCAAACACATTCTCCATTCCCCTCCCCTCGTGTAGCTAGAGACGCACCAGCAGACAGGCATGGGACGCAGGAATCCCCCGTGGAGACCACCGTCTGATCTAGAAGGGCCTCCACATCGGTTTTCTCTCTCTAGTGTCTGTGCTTTAGGAGGATTTTGCTCTGCTGTTTTTCCTACGTGGTGGTTTAGTCACTAAGTCATGTCTGACACTTAACTCCAAGGACTGTAGCCTGACAGGCTCCTCTGTCCATGGGATTCTTCAACCAAGAGTACTGGAGTGGGTTGCCACTTCCTTCTCCAGGGGATCATCCAGACCCAGGAATTGAACCCAGGTCTCTGGCATTGCAGACAGATTCTTTACTGACTGAGCTACGAGGGAAGTCTGTTTTTCCTACATAGACAAACTAAGTGTACAATTTTGTCCTTTATTTGGGGCTGAACACAGACAGGTTCTGGTCCATTCGTTCTCCTGCTGAGTATTGGCCATCCCCATAATGTTGGTCCTGAGAACTGGGTACCAGTTCCCCTTTCTCTAGATAGATCACACTGACCTCCTGTGTCAGTGGCTGCACAGGAAAACGATCCGACATCCAATGCCCTGACGCTCATGGTCAGACACTCCCTGCCTGCCCAGCTCCTACAGGGTCCCTCTGGACACTCCCTAATTTGGACCACCCAGCAGCCTGTGGGCCCGAAGCTCAGAAAGGGCCACGCGGGTGGGCACGATGGAGCACTGTTCAGTCCTGAGAAGGAAGGGCCCACTGGTACGTACCACAGCACAAGGAGCCTGGGAAACGTGCTGCTGACATGTGGCCGCAGGTTGTACCTTTTGTGATCCCATTGATACGAAGCATCCAGAGCAGTCAGACCTACAGACAGAAGGCAGATTGGTGGCTGCATAAAGCTGAGGAGGCGGAGTGACTGCTAATGGGTACAAGATGTCCTTTTGGGGTGATGACAATATTCTGAAACTAGATAGAAGTGATGGTTGCACAACATTATGAAAGGACTAAATAATTTTCTATGTGGATTTTTACCTTCATTGGAAGAAAAAAAAGCTGTTTGAGAATTCCCTGAGGCCAGAGGCCCAAAGTCCTCCAGGGCTGCACACCTTTATTCACTGGAAACTAGAGAGAAACTGATTCTAAAAAAGATTAAGGGCAGCAGGAGATAGGGGAGACAGAGGATAAGATGGTTGGATGACATCATCGACTCAAAGGACATGAGGTTGAGCAAACTTTGGGAGACAGTGAAAGACAGAGATGCCTGGCGGGTTGCAGTCCATGGGGTCGAAAAGAGTCAGACACGACTGAGCGACTGAACAACAAGAGAGAATCTCAGATTCAGGGTGTGACATTGGAATATGCCCCTTCCCCTCCAGCACTGACCCTCCCAATGGCACTTGGGTGCTTGGAAAGAAGTGGAGCCAGGATGGAAGGAGGTGTGGCCAGGATGGGAGGAGGTGGGGCCAGGAGGGGAGAAGGTGGGGCCAGGAGGGGAGGAGGTGTGGCCAGGAGGGGAGGAGGTGGGGCCAGGAGGGGAAAAGGAGGAACCAAAGGAAAGAAAGGTTTGGAACTCGGATTAGATGTCTCCTATAAAATACGTGTGTGCACGCACATGTGTGTGTGTGTGTGTGTGTGTACTCAATCATATCCAACTTTGCAACCCATGGACTGTAGCCCACCAGGCTTCTCTGTCCATGGAATTTTCCAGGCAAGAATACTGGAATGGGTTGCCATTTCCTAGTCCAGGGTATCTTCCTGACCTAAGGATCAACTCTTGAGTTTCCTGCATTGGCAGGTGGATTCTTTACCACTGCGCCACCTGGGAAACCCCCTTGTAAAATATACTAGGTCTAAAACTATCTGTCTTATTTCTAAAAGTTTATGCTATGTTGTTTTCATAACTATATTAAGAATAACTAAAGCATGTTTGTTCATCTGCGTTCATTTTCTGAGATCTTAACCTGTGGCGGTGCTGTGTCTCATGCACGACCCTCACACAAATAGAGCTGACTGGTTGTGAGAGGTGTATGCAGAGATTAAAGTTCTGGGAGTAAAATGGCAGTCCAGGGAAATCATTCAGAATGTTTCCCCTGATCGGACAGGATTAAGTCTCAAGGGTGTGGAGTGGGGTTCATAGGAGGGCCAGGTGGACCAGGGCTGCAGCCAAAGTCTTCAGAAGAGATGGGGAAAAGTAGTCAATCCTGGAAAGGGGAGGGGACCCTGTGGGTTAGGGCTGGTGGCTGAGCCTGAGTCATTTCCAAAGCCTAGGGTCAGCTTAGGGCATGACAGCCCCCTGCTGCCCAGCATCCCAGAGGGAGGAATTCTCCTTTGTGAGGTCAGATGAGGCTTGGGTTCCCTTTTAGGGGACGGATCACCACGTGTCCCTATCTTTGAGAGACTTGGCTGTTTGTACTAAAAAGCCAGGCCCTGCAGCTTTTTACACTTGCTGGCACCATGTCCTGTTGCAGGCCAGGGACACAACAGGAATCAGGACTTTTGCTCTGAGCTTGCAAATTCAAAGTACAGCCAGCACCATTTCATTGCCCTGTAATTAGCTGCGAAGTGACAAGAACCTGGACACGACCCAAACGATAAGCATAGGGTGATAATCAACACTGCTCTGGTTTGTATGGAGCCTTCTGCAGAGTTCTAGAAGAGTCTGGGGAGTCCCAGTCACGTCCAATGGGATGAGAAATCCTGCAGCTTGAAGACTAGATATTCCTCCAGCTCCCTCTTCTCCTCGGGGTTGCACAGCCCTCCCTGTGAAGAGGATATCATATCTGAAATGGGCAGCAAGGTGCAGCTTAGCCAAACTGCAAGCCGATGAGTCAGACAGACACCCCTGTCCTCTGGCTGCTGGCCTGAGCCCAAGCAGGTTGGCCTTGTGTCCTGGCTAAGCTGGAGGCTGGAGACCCGGGGTCCAAACTCCGTGGGTCCCTAACACCCAGCAGACTGCTTTTTAGATGTTTAACAATCGATGCAACTGAACTGACTGAACTGAACTGAACAACCGATCAACTGTATTACTTATAGGACAATGCTCAAGAACTCCCCACATTTCTGGTAAAGAACGCACCTCTCAGGCAAGTGTGGTTGAACCAAACCAGTGATTCCATCCGTGTTTTGTGGGTTGACACCCCCCCCCCGCCCCCATAGCACTGCCAGGGGCTGAGGACCCAGCGGCTCTGCAAGGATTTTTCTCCTCCGCCTCATCCAGACATCACCCAAAGGAGCCCAGGGGTCTCCATGACCATCATGGGAGGAGAGTGTCATCCATTTGGAGAGGAGCAGGTGATGAGGGTCGGGGAGATTGACATCCCACCCCAGGAGTCCTGAGTGACAAGTGTTGACGATGTGAGCCACAAAGTTTCCCTGGTGGCAGCGAGCGCCTTGGTCCTGAGCACCAGGCTGCATGCTCAGCCCCTCTTCACCCCAGATATGCACACGCTGGACAAGGGTTGGCTTTGATAGGAAGCTGTGAAAGGGTCTTGTAGGCAATACTGTGTGCCATTGTGAATTCCAGTCTTCTGAAAAATCATGTTTCTTTTGTATCGTGGTTCACAAAGAGGATGAGGAGAAGGGAGAGACAGCAAAAGAGAAGAGTTCACCCCCAAAACCAATGCCTCCCGCAAAACCAAAAGCCTCACAGGAATTATCTCTAGAGATTTCCACCGTTTTCTCCTAAAGAAATCTGAGATGGGCAGGAAGGGAGGAGAGGGGTGCACCTCATTGAGGGTGGGGCGGCATTGGTCTGCCTTCCTGTCAATCTTCCTCAAGCCCTTTCAAGTTGGGAGTTTGAGTCAAGGCAGACTTTCTGGGGCTGCGGGGGTGGGGGTGGGGGGTGCAGATCAGATGCCATTTGAATCTGAGCAGCCTAGGCTTGAGTGCAGGAAGAAGCCTGGATGGTGGAGGCAAACACAGGGGTCTGCGTTTTCTGTGAGTTTTTCTGACTCTTTGTTCAGGGCTGGGTGGTCCTAGCCCCGAGTCCCTGTCCAGTATTTGTACAGTGACATTAAACATCACGAGGTGTGTGAAAGTGTTGGAGAAAGTCTTTTCAGCTTTGGCAGTTCCGTTCCAACCCCCGCCCCCCGCAGCACACACACCCGGGGTCATGAGCTGTGTTGTGAACTTGCTGGAAGTTCAAGGGTGAGCAGGTCTGGCCTGGCTCCCACGCTCCACTATCAACAGTAAAACCCGGACACAGAAGGACCCTGGAAGCTTTGCATCCAGTGCTTGCTATCCAGTGGGGTGCCCCCCGAGATGTAGCTAGCTCTCGTTCTCAATGGCATCTTGGGGCAGAGGGTGGGGGTGGGGGTCCCAACCCTGAGCAGAGCTGAGCACTGCACCACAGAGGCTGCTGGTGTCCTGTGCGACTCAGGGAACCAGCCCGTCCTGGAATCTTGGGGCCACAAGGACAGCAACGTGCTCGTGCTCTAGTGGGTGACTGTCCTCTGTTTTGTCCCTTTAAGGTGGGCGTCTGTCTTCCTTAAATTCTCTCCTTGGGGAGAGTGAGTCAGAAAGGCAGGTTCTCAGCTCACATCAGGGCTGCCACTCAAGGCTGTTCAACTTTAGGCAAGTTGCTTGGCCTCTCTGGGCTCCTCAGGGAGCAGAGAAGGTGGGCATAGAGTGGGCTTTCATCACACAGCTCCCTTTGCTTCCTTGTTTCCACTTTCACTCCTGTGCGAAGGTGTTTTTGCTGGGGGGGAGGGGGTTGAGGTGCCCTGATGTGGACAGAGGGGTGCCATCCTCAGGGGCACTGTGGCCCAGGTGTGGGGGCAGCCAGGTTGGCAAGGGGAGGGCATGGGTCTCTCCATGGTAGGATCTGAAGAGAGATGGGTTAGGGGCAGGGGATATGGTGTGGGGTGACAGGACACAGTGGGCTCCTGTCCCAGCCCTCAGGACATCACCCTGCCGTCCAGGGCCCACACTGCCCTGAGCCCTCCCCTTCCTGAAGCTCTGTTGGGGTCCTTCCAGGCTTTGGGCATGTCCCTGTGGTGGACAGGGGCTGGGAGGGGCCTGCCTTGGAGGCCTTCTGGCTGTGGAGCTGGGCAAGGGGCTCGGTTCAGACCTTCTGTGTGACGCTGTGGGAGTTTAGCTCAGGGGCAGAGCTCTGACTGCGGAGTTTCAGTGCAAACAAGATGAGCAGGATATTTCTAGATGACTCCCTTGGCCGACCCGGGGCGCGGCCGGCCGTCGTGGTAACTGGGTGACTGCCGGCTGTCTCCACGGCAGCGGCCCCTCCCAATGCCACTCCAGAGCTCTCGTTAGCTCGGGGACCCGTGTGGGGTTGCTGTGGAGCTAGGGACCCGAGGGGCCTCTGGGACCGGAGACTTCAGACCCCTGGTGTCAAAAGTAAATTAAAGGCAGGTGAAGAATGTGTGTGGGGGCAGCCAGGGCCCCTGGACGACTGTGGCCTCACAGCACCCGGCGGCTTTGTGGGCCCTCTTACAGTTGACAGGCAGCCCTGGTGGGCAAACACTGAGAAAATTGTGATGGGAGCGGAGGACTGTTGACCAAACATGAGAAAAAGGAGGCGCCAAGCCTGAGAAAAGGCCAAGAAGGGCAAACAGAACGAATGCTGACCCCAGCTCTCGCTGGACCCCATGCTAACTGGGGGCAGCACTGGCCAGGGGGCAGTGCCCGCTCACCCTTCAGGGTGGGCACCATCTCCCGTGGAGGCCGGGGAGGGCGGGCCCACACCAGCCCCACTGCAGTCCTGCCCGTCCTTCCTTGGAGACCTTGGAATTGAACAAAAGTCAAGCAGGTTTCCCACCTGCAGGACTTGTCAGAAACCTTAGCTTGTTATTTCTTGTGAATCTCCTTAAGCAGCGGGACCAGCTGTGGGGCCTTGGATGTCGGCATTATGGTTGGGCAAACACCTGCAGGTTTTTTGACATTACTCTGTGCAGAAGGTGGGGACCAATCCCTCACCCTTGAGTGCGAGCTGGACTTCGTGGTCTGATACGTCAGCAGAAGGTGGAGGATGGGATGCTGTGTGCTCTCTGGGGCTTGGCCAGAGGAAGGGCCATTCTCCCAAGGAACATACACTCTGGGGGAAGCCAGCTGCCAGGGTCAGAGGACGTTCTAGAAGCCTGAGACTTGTCCTGGGGGAATGGGCCTCCACCAACAACCAGTAACAGCCCCCAGCCATGCAAAGGGCCACCCTGGCAGGGGAACAACCAGCCCCAGTCAAGACTTCAGGTGAGACGGGCTGAGACCACAAAGCAACACAGCTTTGTGGCTTCCAAATTCCTGATCCATAGACTCTATGAGGCTAGTAAGTGCTTCTTAGTGTTTTAAGTCACTAATTCTTGTTCTGCAGCATGTATGCTTAGTCGTTCAGTTGTGTCCGACTCTTTTCGATCCTTTGGACTGTAGCCCGCCAGGCTCCTCTGTTCATGGGATTTGCCAGGCAAGAATAATGGAGTGGGTTGTCTTTTCCTCCTGCAAGGGATCTTCCTGACCCAGGGATCAAGCCCATGTCTTCGGTGTTGCCTGCATTGGCAGGCAGGTTCTTTATCCCTGAGCCATCATGAAGCCCTGTAGCAACAGCTGGCAAACAGGTTTGGGTTTTGTCCTGTTAGAAATGGGGAGGTGTGGGAGGTACGAGGAACATCAAGATGAAGAACCAGGAAAGAGCAGGAAAAGCCATCGGGACAGCAGGAGCAGGACAGGGAGAATGTTCTGGAGCCACGGTGATCCTTCCCAGGCCTGTCCTCAGTCCCCAGCAGTGCTGGGAAACCAGGTTTGTGAAGCTTGGGATTCAGAGGAGCGCTGAGCCTCCCCCCCAATCAACTGTTATTACAGTGCACTTGGCGTAAAAACACGTTCTTAATATTCATACTTAATTATTTTAACAAAGAGATGTGGGGGAGGAGTCACAGGACAGGCAGCAGAAAGGAGCATCCTGAGGCCCCAGTGGAAGCAGAGGGGCAGGGCCGTGGGGAGGCGGAGAGGCAAGGAGGCTCCTGCCTCCCCGAGGTGGAGACCTGGGCTCGGGAGGCCGAGCACAGCTGGGTAGTGCAGAGGGAGCCGCTGAGGGCAGAGTGGAGTGGACGCAGGTCCTCACCAGCCCGCTGGCTACAAAGAAAGACAGAGGACAACAAGTGCTGGCGAGGGAGGAGCCGGGGAAATGGGAGCCCTGGTCACGGCCGTGGGAGACAGTCTGGCAACTCCTCAAAGTGTTAGATGGAGTGACCATGGGACCAACAATTCCACTCCTAGGGGTAAGCCTGTAAGAAATGAAAACCTACATCCACACAAAACCTTGTTCACGACATTATTCATACTAATCCCAAAGTGTTATCAGGAGTAATGTATGTGTGAGTGCTAAGTCGCTTCAGTCACGTCGACTCTTTGCAACACTATGGACTGTAGCCTGCCAGGCTCCTCTGTCCATGGGATTCTCCAGACAAGAACACTGGAGTGGGTTGCCATGCCCTCCTTCAGGGGATCTTCCCAAACCAGGGGTAGAACCTGCATCTCCTACACTGGCAGATAGATTCTTTACCACGGTGCTATCTGGGAAGCCATTAGGAATAATAACACAATCCAAATGTCCATCAGTGGACAAAAAGGTAAACAAAACATGGTTTGTCCACAAGGTGGACAGTTATTCAGTCACGCAAAGGGAATGAATTGCCAACCAGACTGCAACGTGCATGACCCCTGACAACATGATGCTCAGTGAAAAAGAGCCAATTCATTTATGTGAAATATCCAAAAAAGGCAAATCCACTGAAAGAAATAGCTGAGTGTTTGCCAGTGGCTGGGGGCAGGGAGACTGGGAGTGACCATTGCTGGTGTGGGGTCTCTGGTGTGTGATGAAAATGTGCTGAGATTAGGTGCTGGTCACACAACCATGTGAATGGGCTAAAGACCACTGAATTGTACATTTCAGACGGTGGGCTGTATGATGTGTGAGCTCTCTCTCAATGAAGCTGTTTGACAAAAAAGAAGGAGAGGCAGATGTCAAGGGAAAGGAGAAGGGGAAGAGGAGCATGCAGATTAGGAATCCAGGTAGATGGGCAGCTGCAGACAGGAAGGTGGGACCTAAATGTCATGAAAGCCATGCCAAGTGCCGAGGGGGGGGACCCCGTGCTGCAGGTGAACAGCCTCACCTGAGTAGTGCTCGTGTCCGCAGGTAAATGATCTCAGCTGAGTGCCGAACGGGGCCCGTGTCTATACTGAATGAGCCTCACCTGACACAGCCTTACTTTGGGGGAGCGGAGAGCCTGCTTCTGCACAAAGGACAGCTTTGGGCTTTTCTCACTAGCCAGCAGGTAAGGGAGCATGCATGTGTGTTGGAGCATTTTGCTTAACCAAAGCGATAAGTGTGCTAGGAAACTATACCGTAGAGCCCAGCTCTTTTCTTAGATTATTTTGGATTTTAAATCCTCCAAGAGGAGGCAGAAAGGTCTGCTTTCTGAATGGGTACGTCCTTCCCGCAAATGAAATGGGGGAAACTGCTTGTGGACAGCAGTGTGTCCTTCTGTCAAAGGTGGTGCTGGAAGGTAGATGCAAATTGTTTTTGCTTTATTTGGGAAGAGGGGATGGAGGTGGGGCTGGGGGTCCAGAGGTCTGAGGACTGATGGAGTGAAGAGCATGGCTTGGATTGAGTGGTGGTGGTGATGGTGACCAAGGCTACTCCCAAACCAGGAAAACACGGTGGAGGAGTTGATGGAGGAGGAGGGGGCCCAGACAGGAGGCGAGGGGTCCACCCAGATGCACACCCAATACACCTGCAGAGGAGGGTCCCTGGGACAGGACTTGGAGGCTGACAGCATGATGGGAATCTGGAGGTGAGGGGGAGACGTGGCGGAGGAGGGTAGGCGCCCGTGACTGAAACCTTGGCACCTTCAGGAGGAGTGAACTGACACATCAGGATGGCATCAAGGAGGCAGTGCCAGTGTCTGGTTTTGTTTGGCTTTTAGAAGTATTTCAGAAGCTCAGAAGCGCAGAGCATGGAGCATGCGACCTGGGGCAGGTGTCGAGGGTGGCTTGCAGGCCTCAGGATCCGGTTTGGGAAGCCGTGAAGCCCTCAGAGCCAAAAAGCCTATAACAACCAGGAAAACAGGCCGTCACAGCAGGTTGAAAAGGGAGAGGGGAGATATTGAGGGGCTGAGAGCAAGCATTATTACCTCCAGAAGAAAGAGCGTTGCAGGAGCCCCATACAAGCTCATGGAGCAGCACGGGGCTTTGTCTGGAAATGAGTTTCTCACATGCGTGCTCGCCCCCTCGGGACCACAGCCCACTCTTGCACGGGTCCTTCTTTGGGGCCTGGGCTGCCGGGGTTGGGCGCCCACGTGAGCTTGGGCCATCCTGACTCTGGTCCAACAACACACAGTGCCAGGCTCCTCTGTCCATGGGATTCTCCAGACAAGAACACTGGAGTGGGTTGCCATGCCCTCCTTCAGGGGATCTTCCCAAACCAGGGGTAGAACCTGCATCTCCTACACTGGCAGATAGATTCTTTACCACGGTGCTATCTGGGAAGCCATTAGGAATAATAACACAATCCAAATGTCCATCAGTGGACAAAAAGGTAAACAAAACATGGTTTGTCCACAAGGTGGACAGTTATTCAGTCACGCAAAGGGAATGAATTGCCAACCAGACTGCAACGTGCATGACCCCTGACAACATGATGCTCAGTGAAAAAGAGCCAATTCATTTATGTGAAATATCCAGAAAAGGCAAATCCACTGAAAGAAATAGCTGAGTGTTTGCCAGTGGCTGGGGGCAGGGAGACTGGGAGTGACCATTGCTGGTGTGGGGTCTCTGGTGTGTGATGAAAATGTGCTGAGATTAGGTGCTGGTCACACAACCATGTGAATGGGCTAAAGACCACTGAATTGTACATTTCAGACGGTGGGCTGTATGATGTGTGAGCTCTCTCTCAATGAAGCTGTTTGACAAAAAAGAAGGAGAGGCAGATGTCAAGGGAAAGGAGAAGGGGAAGAGGAGCATGCAGATTAGGAATCCAGGTAGATGGGCAGCTGCAGACAGGAAGGTGGGACCTAAATGTCATGAAAGCCATGCCAAGTGCCGAGGGGGGGGACCCCGTGCTGCAGGTGAACAGCCTCACCTGAGTAGTGCTCGTGTCCGCAGGTAAATGATCTCAGCTGAGTGCCGAACGGGGCCCGTGTCTATACTGAATGAGCCTCACCTGACACAGCCTTACTTTGGGGGAGCGGAGAGCCTGCTTCTGCACAAAGGACAGCTTTGGGCTTTTCTCACTAGCCAGCAGGTAAGGGAGCATGCATGTGTGTTGGAGCATTTTGCTTAACCAAAACGATAAGTGTGCTAGGAAACTATACCGTAGAGCCCAGCTCTTTTCTTAGATTATTTTGGATTTTAAATCCTCCAAGAGGAGGCAGAAAGGTCTGCTTTCTGAATGGGTACGTCCTTCCCGCAAATGAAATGGGGGAAACTGCTTGTGGACAGCAGTGTGTCCTTCTGTCAAAGGTGGTGCTGGAAGGTAGATGCAAATTGTTTTTGCTTTATTTGGGAAGAGGGGATGGAGGTGGGGCTGGGGGTCCAGAGGTCTGAGGACTGATGGAGTGAAGAGCATGGCTTGGATTGAGTGGTGGTGGTGATGGTGACCAAGGCTACTCCCAAACCAGGAAAACACGGTGGAGGAGTTGATGGAGGAGGAGGGGGCCCAGACAGGAGGCGAGGGGTCCACCCAGATGCACACCCAATACACCTGCAGAGGAGGGTCCCTGGGACAGGACTTGGAGGCTGACAGCATGATGGGAATCTGGAGGTGAGGGGGAGACGTGGCGGAGGAGGGTAGGCGCCCGTGACTGAAACCTTGGCACCTTCAGGAGGAGTGAACTGACACATCAGGATGGCATCAAGGAGGCAGTGCCAGTGTCTGGTTTTGTTTGGCTTTTAGAAGTATTTCAGAAGCTCAGAAGCGCAGAGCATGGAGCATGCGACCTGGGGCAGGTGTCGAGGGTGGCTTGCAGGCCTCAGGATCCGTTTGGGAAGCCGTGAAGCCCTCAGAGCCAAAAAGCCTATAACAACCAGGAAAACAGGCCGTCACAGCAGGTTGAAAAGGGAGAGGGGAGATATTGAGGGGCTGAGAGCAAGCATTATTACCTCCAGAAGAAAGAGCGTTGCAGGAGCCCCATACAAGCTCATGGAGCAGCACGGGGCTTTGTCTGGAAATGAGTTTCTCACATGCGTGCTCGCCCCCTCGGGACCACAGCCCACTCTTGCACGGGTCCTTCTTTGGGGCCTGGGCTGCCGGGGTTGGGCGCCCACGTGAGCTTGGGCCATCCTGACTCTGGTCCAACAACACACAGTTGACGGGAAGGGGCCCCCCGTGGCCACAGGTGGGACACGAGAGCATCAGGAAGTATAGTGACCAAAATGGGTTGAAACACGATAAATAAATTACAATGCATGAATCCTTGACTATCCAGAAAACAAAGAAAACTTGGAGGGGGAAAAAAAAGTAAGGAGCTCTCGGTCACCTTTGGGAAATGCTGGAAACCAATTCGTTACTCAAAAAAAATGGGTAAGTAAAAGAAAGCAGCAGGCATTTATCCTGCTTTTCCTGAATGAGCAGTAACCACACAGTCGACAAGAAGGCTCTTAGACAAGCACCCAGCCGACAGATACAGGGAGGTGGGGAAGGTAAAAGCAGCCTTGGACAGCCCTGGGCCCTCAGGCAAGGGCAACATCCTTGAGGAAGCCCCCAGGAGACATGCCAGGAAGCCCAGTGAGGATGTGCTCTTGCTGAAAAGCAAACCTGATGTGGGTTGATCTCTGTGTCCATCACGGGCTTGCAGGAAAGACTGGCACAGAAGGATAGCCAGGCAACCTAGGGACACAGCCTGCTGGAGCCAGGATGTGGTACGTTCTACAGGGGTAAGCAACTCAGTTCCTTCAACAAGAAATTAAAACGAAGGAGAGTGTTATTCATAAAGCTTGGGGCATATTAACACATTGCCTTTTTTAGACTCTGGATTCTGATGTTTAAAAACAACAGCTGTATGAAATGAGACAACTGGGGAATTCTGGACATGGGCCGTTTATTTGGTTTTAAGACTATTAAATTTTTAGGTGATAATGGTAGTGTGGTTAAATTCTTTAAAAGTGCATCTAGTTTGGCAGCATTTACAGGCAAATGTGGTATGTGCGAAGGTGGGGCACAGATGGAATAAGACAGGCCAAGGGTTGAGCATTGCTGAAACTGAGTAATGGGGCGTTGGGTTCATCATACTGTTTTGTCTACTTTCGCATTTATGTTTGAAATTTTTCAAAGTAAAAACATTAAAAATTGATGCCTCCATGGAGCTTACAGACTGGCTTTGCTGTGCGTGTTTGTGAGGTGGATAAGTGAGAACGCTGCACCGTGTATTAATTCAAGGGGGGAGGGAGGGTATGTGTGGGGGGTGTTACGATTTAAGTAGTGGGGCGGGTCTCACTGAGAAAGTGACTGGAGATAGGGGTGGGTAGGGGTGAAGAGCAGTCCAGTCAAGGAGTTGGACATCCAAGGTCGAAGCTGCAAAAGGAGCAGCCTGCCATCCAAGGGGAGGGGTCGGATCTTAGAGAGACCTCGGCTGTCAGGTGGGGGGGATGTGGAACCCCTGGCAGAGGCTTGGCCAGTGTACCACCATCTGTGGGCTTGATCAAGGTCAAGGGTACGGATCAGCTGACTGGAGTGCAGTTGGTGAACAAGGCAGAGAAAATAGGGGCTGGCCCAGGGCTGGTGGTGGCGTGTGGAGCTAAATTCTGAGAAGCCCAAGGAAAAAGGGTGTCACCCGGATGCCACCCTCGGGATCAGACTCAGGGGAACCTGCCCACTGGGGCCCCGCCCCCATGGTGGCAGTTTCCTCCTCTGGCTCTGCGTTCCGTTCCACACGCTTTCACTTCTGGCAAAACCCAGGGGGGGCGACCGCTGCCACCTTCTAAGTCTTCAGGATGAAGCAGCAGCCCAAGGGCTCTGGGACGGGTCCTTCAGCTGCTTCCCACCTTCGTGGGGGCAACGCCCCCGGCAGGGCCAGCCGTGCTCGTGCCCCTGTTGCAGGCGCAGGGCTATTGCAGTGCCCTCATGTCTCACATCCTCTGAGCGGCTGTGGTCAGACGGCTCCCCTGGCCTGCGATGCGTCACTCCCAACCGCTTTTCCTGCCGCACCCTGGGTTCCGGGCCGCCCGGGTCCTTGGAGAACCGAGATTCTAGCTCAGCCTCGGCGCCTCTGGAGGCATCAGCTGGAACTTTGCCCTGAGAGGGTGAATTGCGACACAGGGAGATAAATGGCTGTGTCGGCATATTTCCACCACGTGCTCAGTGCTGGGCAGGCCTCACATTAAAGCAGAAATGTGCAGCATCAGCAGGAAACATCTGCGTGGGGTGGGGACGGGCCGCCAGGAGAGACAGTCCTGCGCCCTCAGACGTGGCTCCTACAGCAGGTGGAGCCCAGCCTGACCCGGCCCGGGGAGGGGGGAATCCCTGCAGTGGAGCTTGAGCGGGAAGGGTGGGGGTCCCCGGGTGGGCTGCTCAGGTCTGGTCTCTGTCCTTCCACTCGGGCAGGCGCCTGCCAGAAGCTGTTTCCCTGTGAGTTTGGTAGGAGGATCAGCCCCTCGTGGGCGGTGAGCAAAACTTACCGTCAAGACAGCATCTTGGGGCTCATCCCTAGGTTGTCTTGTCCATCTGCCCCCATGCAAACACTCCTAGGCTCCTGCTCTGAGCCCTGGGTGCTGCTGGCTGTCCAGTACGACAGCCCCACAGCTGTGGAGGCAGCCAGGCCTGGGTGGTGTGGCCAGGAGGGCTCTCCTCCTTGAAACAGCTCCTTGTCCCTGTTTCACAGATGAGAAACTGGGAGAAGATGGTGAAGCGTTTGGCGAGGTTGGGCCAGCTCAGGGCCCCATGGTTCAGCTGGGCTCATCGCCACCTCTGACCCGAGGTTTCTGTGATAAGCTGATGGCCATCATCCCCTTTACCCATACCCCTTGCCATAGACAGTCACTGAGAATTCACCTCCTGGAGCTCGGAGCAGGTGGCAGTGAGGGTCAGAGGTCAGGATCAGGCACAACGGCAACCACCCCCACCAGCTGGCTAGGGTTTGTAGTCACACAGGAGGTCGGAGCTTATCCCACTTTGTCTCACGCCACAGTGAGATTTACTGTTTGGGGTGTTTGTGAAGAGAGTAGAGGACTCTGCCCTCATCCGAGGTGGCCAGCTTCCCAGGGCCTGTTCTCCTCTAAGTGAGGCTGTGTGTTCTGATGGATGCCTGGGCGTCCATGGAAATAGCCTGTTTGTGGTTTTTGGAGACTTACGTTGTGTGATTTATAACTTGGTTCTGTTTCACAGCTGCACAAGATCTGGCTCCTTAAGCAGAACAAGCTTCAACCAGAATCTAGCAAACCAGAACTTTAGTTCTGAATTTCAGGGACCAGTTAAGGGTCCTCCCCACCAAGTCTGAGGACTGATCAAACTGACTTAGCCTTGCCCGATCCCCACCACCCCCAAATTAAAAATAAAGCAACTGCAAAAGTCACCACTATCATCACTTAAGAGAATGAAATGAGGAAGGAGGAAGTCGCAGAATAAAAGACACTGCTCACGGCGGTGGTGGTCAGTCCTCACCAGCACAGACATTCAGGCCTCTGGCCCGCTTCCCTGACCAGTTGAGGCCCCTGAGACCTCAGAGCACTGAGAGGTATAAGGAAAGGGCCCTCGGCAGGTGCTGTGTCCTTCAGGAGGCTGCCTGCAACGACTCAGGTCGCCTGGTCTCTCCCGGGCAAGACCGTGGTCACGTCTGTCACCGGTCACTCCCTTTGGGGCCCACTGCCCAAAGCCACTCCACGATGTGTCCTCCTCTGGGGTGGGTGGGAGCCAGGCCTCTCTCTCTGGTGGAAAAAGTCACAGCTGTGCTTGGAGGGACACTGTGGTCATGACAGAAATCCCACCCCCGCCCCCTCCACAGAGAGACCCTCCTCCTGTCGCCCGTCTGAGGGAGGGGGCCCTGCTCAGCCACACCTCTACTCCGCCCCACTCCCCTCAGGGGGCAGGGGCTGGGAGTGTCCCTCCCTAGGGTGGTCCTAGACCCCACAGACGTAGGGTCCTGAAGACCTTCTGGGGCTCCAGGACCGTCCTGTGACTCATCCAGGTGTGCATTTCACCTGTCTGTGGGGTTTAAGACGAGATTGAACAGTGTGTCCGGCAGTGGATACCTCAACAACCACCTTTGTTTACTCATCTCGTGAGGCTAACGTCGCACTGCTCGAGGCCATCAAGGCTTCTCTGGGTTTCCGACGACTGAGCAGCCTGAGCCGAGCATAGGGGGAGGAGCCACGGTGGAAGGGGAGGAGCCACGGGGAGAAGGGGAGGGGCCACAGTGAGAAAGGGAGGAGCCACAGTGAGAAAGGGCGGATCCGTCTCTGAGCCGGAGTCTAGGGGCCCCTGAGCCCAGGGGGCGGTCCTCTCACCGTGAAAGCCTCAGATGTCTGACATGGTGACTACATTTGCTTCAGGATTTACTGACGGATCTGTGATTTTTCCAAGGACGCTTTGCTGTGGGCTTTACAGTGAAAGGATCCCTGGAAGATGTATGTTGGTGCCTGAGTGCTGGGCCTTTCACTCTCCGTTCTGCTCACTGCATTTGTCCATCTCCCCAGCCACTGGGCTCTTGGACCCTGGTCATCACAAAGGAACTCGGGAGATGGCACAGGGTTGCCAGCACTTCGGATGACCACCCAGCCTGGCCCATGGGGCCCTGCCCCGGCCCCCACCCTGAAATTCTTGAGCATGTGGGAGACAGGTTCCTTTTTCTCTCCCTTTCCATCCTAGGAAATCACGACCACAGCCCGCATTTAAGGGATGCACAATTCTTTTTAATTTAATGCTGTTTCTTTCTCTTTTTTTGGCCACTCCATGTGACTTGCAGGATTCTAGTTGCTGGGCCAAGGATGAAACCCTGTGTCCCCTGCAGTGGAAGCATGGAGTCACAACCACTGGGCTGCCAGGGAAGTCCCTCACTGCTGTTTCTTGAAGATCTTTTCCTTTTGGTACTAAAGAACTTTGTATTCTTTTCCTCGCCTGCATAGTATTCCACTGTATGTACCTGCCATCACTAATTTGACCTGTTTTCTCCTTAGTATACATTTAGGATGTAAATAATATTGAACTTGCATAATTTTTTTAAAACTAGGATGTAGAAGTTTTATGAGAAACAGTGTATTTATTAGTCTCAAAGTGTCTCTCACAAAATACTTATTAATTACAAAAGAATAAAAGTGGGGAAACCAAGCAGATACTACCTTCAGCAAGTGATCCAAGTTGACATTATCTGTAATGAGACAAGTAGACATCACTTTCCTCTTGATATTGTTACTGACCAGGGTCCTTGAGCTCTTGAATCAATAAAAATTGTTGAGAAGCCAGACAAGGAATTCAGACAAAGCTGTACTGGGACTCATGCAGCACTAGAGAATAAAAATAAGTAATAGGTACCCTTTGCCTGCTCTCTGAGGTGGGCGGGCTGGTTCCTTAAATGACGTGAGAGTGGGGACTGATCAGTGGGTCAGGCTGGAGGGGGTGCTTAGGTGGTGGGTCCACTGCCTTGGTGATGCTGTGTGCAGAGATCTTGTGGGGGACCCAGCTTTTGCTCCTGGCCCCTCAGAAATGACAGTTGGTTTGTGGCCTTTTTCTATCTTGTTCATGATTGGACCCAACGGAGCAGGTAGGCAGTTACTTTTAGACCCTTATTGTTTCTTTGTATTCTGTTGCTCCAAGAGACAGAAGTAAGTGCAAGCCAAGGGTCCCAGGTCACAGCCTACCTCAATATGATACATTGTGAAGGACACAGCATACAAATAAATATATGGTTATATATGTTACATATATATAAGAGAGAAAGGAAGAGAGAGAAAAAGCAAGTGTGTTAAAATATCAACTGTTTAGGGAATCTGGGAATTCTTTGTAACCTCTCCAAATTAAATTATTTCAAAATAAAGACTTTTTAAATTAAAGACATAAAAAGCCTGCCTATCCCAGGATTATAGATATATTATCCTATATTTTTAGCCTGATACTTCATCTTGTTTTGTTAATCTGGCTTTTTAAACACCCAGATTTTTACTCTGGAGCATAGTACCAGCTGGAAATCTAACTTATGTCTTCCAAATGTGACCATACATAATTTTTCAAACATTAGGTTTATTTTTAATGTGAGTACATATAATTGTTTTCTTAATTTTAATAAAGTTTTCAAAACTAATACATGAATTTTGAATATATATTTTTTAAATTCATTATTAACTTCACTAAGGCTTTTAAAAAACCTTCCATCAAGTTGTTCTACACTCCAGCAGGTCTCAGATCCCAATTTCCCATTTTCAGATGGCAGCCTATTTTGAAAGAGCCAGTTTATACTTAAAACCTATGTCCAAGTACACATACACTCACACACATGGACATACATAAACACAATTTTTTGAAGCACCATTTCACATCTACCATCAGGAAAAATAATGAACAAATTCATCTTCTCATTGTAACTCTACTGCGAAAGGCAGTAATGCAACATACGATGCCATATTTTAAATATAAATATCAGTTAAGTGAAAATACTGACAAAGCTTAAGACTCTGTTCAGAGATATTTAAAAAGTAAGGCTCAAATAACTGTGTAGATTCCAAACACGCTATTTAGTGATCAGTTCCTCTCAAACATTAGTTTTTACATAGATCTGATAAACTCTTCGAAGTGAAATTGCTGAGCAAGAGTCCTCTTTCTACCGGAATTTGTACCATTTCACTGACCTCAGAGCTCAGCCTGCACATGCCCCCCCATCCCCACCCCATCCTGGAGCCCCAGCAGAGTCATAAGTGTTCCTGTGCGGCCCACCAGTGTACCGTTGAACTCTCGGCTTTTGCTAATCAGATAAATGGAAAACGGTTTCTTGACATTGTTTTGAAATTTATTTCTGTTATCGTGAATGAGTTTGAGCATCTCATATGTTCAAGGGGATCCATTTGTATTTCTTTTTTTGGTGAATTATTTGTTCACTGGTCTGTAAGAGCGCTTTGAATATAAAGATTAGTCCTTCCTACACAGTATCAATAGCCTGGTATCGCTCATATTTGCACTTTGTGTTGTGGTCATTTTGGCCATTAAAAAAGTTTTTTAACTAAACCATTTTCATCTTTTATTGTTTCTGGGTTTTTTTAGGTGATGAAAGGTGCTTTTTTTTTTTTTTTTTAAATGTTTTCCTCTCATACTCTTAGGGTCTTCCTGCTTAACATTTACATTTCTGATCCTTTTGGAATGATGCTGGTGTCCGGTGAGGGGTGTGCGTCTAACTTGTGTGTCTAACTGGTCACCTTGTTGTCCGAGGAGCATCTATTCATAACGTCTTGTTGGCACCACCTTTACACACACCAGCATTCCCTGTTCTGGCCTCTGTTCTGTCCCATGTTCTGGCTAGGCATATTCCAGGAGGCAGGTCGTGTCATGTCCCGTTTTGCTGATTAGAACATCAAGGCCCTGGGGAGTAGTATCCTCCAAAGGTCCCCTGGGCGGGTGGCTCTGCCAGCCTGTTTCTTCACCAGGGTTTCTTCTTACTTCCCCATCCTCCCACCCCCTGAGGGGTGAGTTAAACAGGAATGACCAGAAGACAAAATGTCCAGGTTCCTTATCTGTGTGCTGAGATCTCAGAAGCTGCCATGTTATCTGGGGCTCACAGAGGCGCCATGCAGCCCACTGGCCGCAATACTGGTCTCAGAGAGGAACAAGGTTCGGTTAGGGTTTCACAAGATCATTCTTTGACCTGAGGGTGAAGTTCAGATGGTGCCAGCTCCTGGTTCTTCCTCCCTCCTCCCCAGCTGTGTGTGGCAAGGCTGCCCAATCCCTGCTGGAAGCCTCCTTGTCTCTCATCTGTAAGCATGTGTTACCTGCTCAGGTGAGGCTTTCCTGACTCCTCTCCCCTTCCCCAAGCAGAGTGACTGCATCCTGCTGGGACCACTCTGCCTCCCAGGCATCATCCTGAACTGGAGGGAAGTGTTGGCTTGTCTTTATCTGAGCTCTGAGCTCCTGGAAGTCAGGGCTGGGTGTCTCTTCTCAGCCCTCCAGGGCTCATGAAGTGAACTGAGGGGTGTTGAGGGTTTTAGGATAGTTCATGAATTACTAATATTCATTTTGGCCTAGGACAATCTGAATGTATGTACAGCGGTTTGAGTTCTAAACCAGGCTTAGTGCTCAGCAGTACATGGCCTTGGTTCTCCGACTTCTCTGTAGCTGCAGAGCAAAGGTGCTCGGTCACAGCACAGTGGTTCCTAGAACTGGGGGAGTCTGTGTGGCCATCCCACAGTCCCACACTGTCCCTGTACCCCTGTGTGCCCACACCCTACCTGCCAAAGCCCCTACTGGGCAAGTTACAAAGCAAGTAAATCAGTCATTCTCTCCAAAGCTCCTCTTTCTCCTCCTGATACCCCTTGGACTCATCTTCCTTCCCTTTCCCCCAACTCATGGTCAGCAAATCCCTTGAATGTGGTCTCAACTTAGACCTTAGAGGCTTTTCCTTCCTGGGGATATGGGTATTCTGATAGGAAATTCTAGAAAATCAGTAAGTGCCCTCCACCTGACTCATTGCCCAGCCAGTTTCAGAGACCAGCTGAGCTGAGACAAGCAGGTATGAGGCCCTCCAGGAGCTGTATGCAGTCCTTTGCACCCCTACCTTCCATGTTGATGAGAAGGTTAAATAGCATCACCAACTCAATAGACATGAATTTGAGCAAACTCTGGGAGATAGTGAAGGACAGGGAAGCCTGGCATGCTGCAGTCCATGGGGTTGCAAAGAGTTGGCCACAACTTGGTGACTGAACAACAACTTCCATCTTGATTGGCTGTGATCAAGCCACGGGTCCATACAGGGCAGTGCAAGCCCACATCCCCATTGGACCCATGTGTACCATGGTGGCTGCAGTCACCCCATTGCCTGGGGTAACCCAGGCAAACCACCCACCCTGGTGTCTGAAGTTTGCCCGTGGTCTTCAGTCAGGGCTATGAAATATCCCTTGATGAGCCTGGGGGCCTGGATCATACGCAGTCAGTGATAGAAAGGCTGTAAGTCTAACAGAGGCCATCCTCATCTACCTGTTCCCAAAGGTTGCACAGAAACTCTGATGTCCACGGGTCACTAATCTGCTGCACAGACCAGGAGATGCCAGGGCTGAAGACTGTGGCCTTAGAACCCTGCTTGGAGCCACATTCCAGCGCATGTGGGGGCTCTCTCCAGAGACACGGTCACTTGAGTAAGTTACTTCCATAAAATGCATCCCTGACAAGCACAGCGAGAGGATCCTGCTGCACCCTGTGATGTCACAGTCAGGACGGTTATGCCCTGGTGTTGTCTCACTGCACTGGAGCGCGGTGGAAGGAGGCAACAATGATGGGAAATCTAAAGAGAAGCCGTAGTGTTACATGCTTNGCATCCCTGACAAGCACAGCGAGAGGATCCTGCTGCACCCTGTGATGTCACAGTCAGGATGGTTATGCCCTGGTGTTGTCTCACTGCACTGGAGCGCGGTGGAAGGAGGCAACAATGATGGGAAATCTAAAGAGAAGCCGTAGTGTTACATGCTTTGATAACTGATTTCATGTTGGTGGCTCAGACAGTAAAGAATCTGCCTGCAGTGCAGGAGACCTGGGTTTGATCCCTGGGTCAGGAGGATCCCCTGGAGAAGGGCATGGCAACCCACTCCAGTATTCTTGCCTGGAAAATCCCATGGATGCAAAGAGCCTGGTGGGCTATAGTGCATAAGGTTGCAGAGTCGGACACCATGGAGCAACTTTCACCTCACCTAGTTTTATCTTGCTAGGGAGTTATATGTCAGTCATAGTCAAAATACCAAGCTGCATGGTGTAATGAGTGATGACGGACTCCGAAGTTTCCACCTGTGATGCTGGGGTTTTGGCGGTGATGAAAGAGTGGGGATTTGTCCTGGGTAGGGGAAGGTCCCCCCAGGGTGGCTCAGATCATAGGCAGGAAACCCCACCCCAGTCCCCGTCCCTCACTCTCACTTCCCGTTCTGTTATTTGCGTGATGAGATGTCAGGGAGTGAAAGGGAAGTTGGAGGGGAGACATAGCTACACATGAACTACATCAGGATGTACCAGGATGCAATTTTCCTGGTGATTAATACTCTTTTGTGTGACTTTCTCCCTGAAGAATGCCTGAATAGGATCCAGGCAAATCAAAGCGATTAGTCTGGGTTGGTCAAGGGTCCTTAATACCTCACCCACAGAATCACGTGGAGCTTATTCTGAGTTCACTTTCTCCTCTTCCTCTAATGTTACTTGAGAGCTCCATCCCTCTGGGTGGGACCTCACAGCTTCTCCTAGGAGCTGGCTCCCCGTGGTGGCCTCGTCCACTCGAATCAAGCAACACTACTATCTGAGAGAGTAAACCCATAGACACAGCAAGGCCCTAGGAGGTGGTTGGAGCCCTGGGTTGGAGGGAGGGACCTGCATGGTGGCTGGGCTTGGGATCAGCCAGGCAGGACAAGGATGTGAGCAGGGGACGTAAACAGGGGTTCCCTGAGAAGTCTTTGCATCACCCACAGTGCCCATCAAAGATCGCTGGTCTCCATACTACCAGCTTACTGTCTCATAAAGTGTTTTCTATTAGTTTTATAAATTGAATATGATAAATTAAAAAAGAAGGAAAAGGCTTTATAGTCTGTAGATAGGTTCATTGACCACCTGATTTGTGTCAACACTATGGTTGCTTTGCCTATATAGTATCCCTCATCCAGAGACAGTGCAGGTGAGAAGGCGGCTTCTAGAGGAGGAAGGTGATGCTTAGACCATCCTCATGTCAGAGGCAGGAAGAGCAGGACCAGGGCATGGGCTCCAGCGCCCTGACTCCTCACCTTTTAAAGTACAATTTCATCTTAAGGAACCTGCTTGGATTCAGCTCTGTGCTGGTAGCAGCCTCCAAACCCTGTAATTTTCACTGAACAACCTGGGGGAAGACCGCATGGGTTATGACGGGGGAACGGAAAGAAAGAAAAAAAAATTTTAATTTAAAAAAAAAAAAGGAAAGGGAAGAAACCAGGAAAGGGAAGTTCAAGCTGCTGAAATGAGGCCCGCGTGGGCACAGGAGGTGCAAACAGCCTCCAAGATTGGGTCTGGTTCTGGGTTTTCCATGTAGTACAGTCGTATTTCAGCTCATGGAGAGAACAGATGTGAGATGTATTGGGAACCCACAAGCCCCGCGGAAGGCTAGGGTGATGGCAGATTGTGGAGTGTGTCTCTTCTGAAGTTTCCGGGTCAATTATTTTTCAAAGGGACATTCAGCCTTAATTTTCAGGCCAACCTTGGCATGGCACATGTCATCTTGGGATGTGGTGGGTGATCCACTGTGAAGGGAGGGAATGTCACTGGGAGATTTTCCATTGGTTCAATTCTGGGGGTGGGGGAGGGAGAGGGCACCCCATCTCTGCTTGGAACACACACTCTTCTTAAGGTTGTCTCCTGTGCAGGCTCATTGTTTTAAGAATAAAAGGTGAAAAAAATGTGAAAAGGGAGAATTACCTAAAACCCTTTACGGGTAAAGACTTCCCTGGTGAGTCAGTGGTAAAGAATCCACCTGCCAATGCAGGAGAAGCAAGTTCAATCCTTGGGTCAGGAAGATCCCCTGGAGAAGGAAATGGCCACCCACTCCAGTATTCTTGCCTGGGAAATCCCGTAGACAGAGGACCTGGGAGGGCTACAGTCCACGGGGTTGCAAAGAGTCAGACACGACTTAGCAACTAAACAACAACAGCAACTTTGCTGATAAAGATCTGCAGGCTCTAAAAGTTCGAGGAAGAGGCTCAAGTATAAATGGTTTCTTCAAGAGGCTTTAAAGGCTGCAGGCATCCTGGGCTTGTGATCTCAGAGCTGGAGATGAGGGGAAAAAACTCAGCCTCAAAAAAAAAAAAAAACAAAAAAACTCAGCCTACCTGGGTCAGTCTTCCAAGGACTAAGGACCCAGTGGGGAGTGCTTGCTCTGGGAAACAGGAAGAAAGAAAAAATAGTCTTCAAGAAAGAGGACACAATAAAAACAAAAAGCAATATGGGTCCTATCAATGTGACATGGTTGAGAAATAATAGATCATCTATCAAATTTAACATGTATTTTTATTCACACAAAGACATGAATGAGCACAATGTTGACATGGAAGGGGTGGCAGTTTTACAAAAATGGGGTGACAAGTTCTCATTTGTCTCCATCTGTGTGTGTGTTTCCAGTGTGATACCAAGGTGGGAAGATGGTGCAGTCTATCCCAGGTGTAGACCATAATTTGGTACCTTGTCTGTAGAGAATCTTAAAGCAATAATACAAGTGCCTAGAAGTTTGTCTCCTTTTTAGTGTCACCTTGCATCAGCAATTCTAACCCCTGTTAGTGATAAAACACTTCTCCCTGCCAGCGGGTACAGCTGGCACTGCTTCCTGTCTCACTCAACCACTGCGTATTTGCATATGATGCATATAAACATGAAGTTAAACATGGGGTGCACACAAGTTTTTGTTAACTTGGGTTACCTAGGAAGGGCTTGGGGTTGGTATGCTGGGGGAGAAAGAAGGATCAGCAGGGCAAAAACAGAGGAGGAGGGAAAGGATGGGAGGAAGGGATAGTTAGGGAGTTTGAAATCAACATATACACACTGCTATATCTAAAAGAGATAACCAACAAGGACCTACTGTATAGCACATGGAACTCTGCTCAAGGTTATGTGGTAGCCTAGATGGGAGGTTGGGGCAGAATGGATACATGCGTGTGGGTGGCTGAGTCCCTTTGCTATGGACCTGAAACTATCACAACATTGTAATCAGCTATACTCTGATATAAAATTAAAAGTTAAAAAAAGAGGAGGAGGAAACAAAACACTGAAGACTCATAATGTGATAACATCTGATGACATTTTATTGAAAATTACATATGCATTTAAGTAAAGGGAAATTTTAAAAAGAAAAAGATCTTCAAAGCTCTAGATTTGCTTCCCAGAAAGCCATACACTTTCACACCAAACTCAGGTTTAGACACCCCAAAAGCCGTCAGAGTCTGCCTCAGGCCTTGGGCTGTTCTGGGCCACAGTCTGATCCTTTCTACTCATGTAGAGCAGTTGAAATCCCTGAATGTGGTCAGAAGACCTGGACTGGAATATTTTCCTTGCAGCCTGCTGTCTGTGACCTTGGTCGTATGAATCCTTATGCTAAGGAGCAGTTTCCTCACCGTAGAAGGGCCCCCACTTCCTAGCTGAGTGGACAGCACAGATGAGCTTCCGGCCAGCTGGGTGTGGGTCTCCGCAGGTCATAGTCAACCACGGGACTAGAACAAAACATGTCTCCCATCATCTCCTACTGGGGCTCCTTCCATTAGAATCTGCCCAGGCAGAACTATGTGTTCAAAGCTTTACATATTCAGTGCTTGATAAAAGCTAATCGGATGTGAATTTGGTCACAGCTCAGCTAACTGGTGAACTAGGGATCCAGGAACAACCCTTGGGGTAAACCTTTCAAGGACTGCAGAGCGTGGCTGGATGGGCTGGTTTGCAGACACTCACTGACTTGCCCTGGTCCCTGCAATTTCTACCCATTCTCTCTGCTGCTTTCCTCCTTTCCCCATCCTGCCAATTTTCTCTCTGCTTCCATTATTTTTTTCTTTTCTTTTCCACTTTCCTTTGATCTCTCCACCTCAGCTGGTCCTTAGTGTTTGTCGTATGTATTTTAGAAGTTGTCTGTGTTTTTAATTACAAGAAGACTTTAATGCCATCTCCAGATCCCCCACGTAACCCTCAGGAAGTGGTGCTGGTGCTGAGCAAAGTGCGGCCAGGTCCTCACTTCACACCCTCGCTGCCAGGCATGGGGCCGCCCACAGGAAAGTTCCTGTTGGCCTCGCTGCCTCCATGGTAGAGGCTAGGAAGGCTGATGGCTCTCAGTGACCTCACAGCAGGCTGGACAGTCAGCTAGGAGGCAGGAGCTGTCTGTGCTCCCAGGCGTTTGGGGTGTAGCCTTTCCCTTCCAGCTCAGAAGGGACCTGGGAGCCCCAGCTGGTGATTCTGTGTTCTGCCTTTGACTCTTAGTAAACACTGCTTGGAGACTCTTCTGTGAGCTGCCGGGGGAGGCATAATCTGCATGGCCTGACACGGGTCATGCCTGCATTTTTCCTGAGTGGCTGCCCCCAGCAACACAAAGCTAAGAAGCAGAGGCCACCAGGAGATGAGGCTGCGGTTGCCTAGCAGAGCTGGCCGCTGCCAGGCCACATGGGCAGGCACCTTTGTGGGGCTTGCTGGCCACTGGGCAGTCCACACCACGCCCAGCTCCCAGAGGTGCCAACACGGTGTTCACAAGCCTCAGACCAACTGGGCTCCTGGAGCTCTGGTCCCCACCACACACACAGCCACAGT